GTGGGAAAGGGATGGGCAGTGATTCCGGGGATCCACGGTCCCGCACGGCTCCCCTGTGGGAACCAGGGTGCTCATCTTGGGGCCTGCCTCGCCCCTCCCTGACACTGGCTTTGGTGCCGGTGACAAGAGGGGTAGCAATGCCGGAGAGCTTTCCCCGAGGAGGGTTAATGAGTGTTTGCAAAGAGCTTCGCCCACCCGGGGCGAGAGTCGCTGCTGCAGTTGATCCCGGGCGATTCGTTAGCGCATCGGGCAATTTGTGGGAGCAGGGCGCGGCGAACCGCCGCCGCACAGCCCCACGGGAATATAGCAAATGATAAACATTTTGGAGAGGGGGGGGAAAAAAAAAAAGCAAGCTGTTTAAGCTGCAAGTTTGAGGTTTTCTCACCTGCCAGCATGGGGACGGGTGGCTTGGGGTTATTTGGGTTATTTCTGAGTTGATGTCCAGGGAGGTCCCAACTGCCCCCCGGACCCACCAGGGTGGGGATGCCCTGTCTGGCTCAGCACGGGGAGGGAAGGGATTTGTAGGATCGGAGGGGGGTCCCGGTTCCTGGACCTGGGGGTTTGAGCTCCTGCCGCGGCCGTGCTGCCTGGCTGGAAATCCCCGCTGGTGTTTGATGCCTGCTCTGTGCCGAGGCGGTGGTATGACGGCGAGAACACCCCACCCTTCCCGAATCCCCCCGAGCTCCCTGCGGCAGCCTGCGCCGGGGCTCTGCGCTCCATCCTGGCCTGGATCTTGACCTTGGGCCACGTGCGGAAGGGGGCACGGCTGCCCAGCACCCCCCAGCTCCCCACCGTGCTCAGGCACTCCTCCGTTTTTCCCATGACCTTTTAGCATCCTCTGTGGCTTAAAGACATACTGAACATGGGTTTTTTTCTCCTACCCCTTCGGTCAGGGCGTGTGTTTTGCGCTCAGTCTGCTTCCTCTTTCCAGCGTGCCAGGCAGGCAGGGGGGACTCCGTCTAGAAATGCTTTTATTGTTGTTTTTTTTTTTTATTTTATTTTATTTTCCGACTTCTGCTTTTTGAGATGAGCAGATGGAGATGCAGGTAATTCTGCAAAGCTGTAAACAAGCCGGGCTGAGCTATAAATGCGGCAGCTTTTGGGACGTGTGCTGCCCAGCCTGCCTCCTCGGATTGGGTCCAAAAAAATGGGATCTGGCCAATGCCTCTTGTTTGGGAGGAGGATGATGCCGTGGGATGCAGCTGGGATTTGGGCAAGGATGGAGACGGGGGAGTGCTGGGGGACAAATAAATGCACCCCTCTGTCGCAGGCCTGGCCAGGGGGAGCTGAGCAGGGGGCAGCTCAGCCCACACCCCCGGCTCTCAGTTGGGTGTTGTGGCTGGACACAGGGGTGCTGAGAGCATCACCCAAATTTGGCCAGAGCACCCAGCCTTCCCAGCTGGGGGCTGTTTGTAGCAGAAGTGCCCATTGCCTAGCAATGCCCGCAGGGGGGTCCAACTTAGCAGGGGCTGGGCAGGGGCCTGGGGAGCGCTCGCCCACCCGGGACGGAGCCGGCACTGGCATAATTAGCATCCTCTGCAGCCCTGGGGATGTCACTGGGTAACGAGCATCCTCCCACCCACCCTCCTGCATCCCCCTGCCAGCTCTTCTGTGCCAGCACTGGGACCCAACCCCTGACCCGGGGGACCCCCCACTGCCACGGTGATGCCAGGGGTGTGAGGACGTGTGGGTGGAACAGGAATGTCACCCTGTACCTCATCGCTGCTGCTCACAGGGTGGTCACGGTGGTGCTGGTGGCCCTCAGCGTGGTCTGGATCCCCATCCTGCAGAGCTCCAGCGGTGGCCAGCTCTACGTCTACATCCAGGCTGTCACCAGCTACCTGGCTCCTCCCGTCACCGCCATCTTCGTCCTGGCCGTCTTCTGGCCCCGAGCTAACGAGCAGGTAGACAGCCTGGGGACAGCTCAAGGATATGGGAGCCCTCCCCGCTCCTGGGGACCCAGTGGGGCTCTGGTGGTCGGTGGGAGGAAGGGGGAAGGCGATGCTGGAGGGGCTGGGAAGAGGAACCGAGCCTGGCTGGTGTTTCCCCGGGGAGCTGGTGGGTGGCTGGTGCAACGAGGAGGAGGAGGAGGAGGCAGGTGCTGCTATACATGGCCACCAAGCGTGGCACAACCGATGGGGCTGGCGGGGGACATCCCCTGCAGAGGGGGTGCAGGTTTGGGCCAGGGTTTGGCTGGCTGGGGTGCTGTCCCGACACGCAGGAGCTGCTCAATCTTCTCCCAGGGCTGGCCAGAGAGTGGCTCTCCGGGGGCGTCTGTTCCCCCATGGGGTGGCTGTCCCCCTCCAGCCACCCCCCGTGGACCTTTGCTTTGCAGGGAGCTTTCTGGGGCCTGATGGTGGGGCTGGCGCTGGGGGTGGCCCGGGTGGGGC